ACCTGGTTTGCAGAACATCGCTCGCAAGGTCTTTGCAATTCCAGCTAGTAGTGCCTCCAGCGAACGCTGCTTTAGCGCTGCTGGATTCATATTGCAAGAACGGCGATCCCGGTTGAAACCGGAGGTCGTAGATGGTATTCTATTCTTGCACAGCAATTTGTAAGTAAATAGATACTTTATATTTTCATATTGTGCACATTTCCGCAAGTAATAGTAAAACAATTTTTTTGCACTCTTTCCTTTTCCGCTGCCGGATTTTTCCCCACTCTTTCCTTTTCGGCTGGCGGATTTTCCCTCACTCTTGCTTTTCCGCTGCCGAATTTTTCTCCCACTCTCGGTTCGCCGCTCTCGGACCCAGCAGGGCCCCTTGAACGACACCCAGCAATATTTTTTCTTACACGCTATTCCCTATATACCTCGCAGTTTGCGCTGCGGTACTGCTTCCCCGTTTTTTAGGGGCTCGGCGCCAAAATTTCGCTCGCCGGCTCTGAGCCGGATTCCGGAGTCGGAAATCGCAATGGGAATAGGCCATTAGACCTGTTGAGCATTATCACCGCAATGATAGACTGACTAAATTTCTCCAAGTATCTACAAAGCCTTATTAAATTAAATCCTTTTTTTTTTAACTTTAGATTGGTCTTTATTTACAATTATAAATTCTATTAAATAGTATTCTCTGTTCTCGTGGAAAATTTCCGCCACGTGGTCTAACCTATCGATAACTCTTACCTCTCTATCTGCAAGAATATTCGAGGGAGAAGAATTAGTCTCTTCTTTTCTCTTCACACTCTTTTCTTTATTCGAATCTGGCGATTCTATAACGTTAAACTTATAATCTTTTGATCTTCTCACTGGCTCTATCTCTCACTTGCTGCGTACTTACTAAGGCTCGAATTTATAGTCGATTCTCGCGCTTGGCACTCAGCACTCAAGTGCGTCCAACCGTTCCGCGTTCAATGTACACATTTTGCACTTGAGTGCTGAGTGTCAAGTGCGAGAAGCGACTATAAATTCGAGCCTAACTCATTCGATATCACAATGGCTGACTTTCCTCTCTCGTTGACCAAAATGGCTTTGTCTAGATCATCGATATTGGTTTTCTTTCTTGGATCAGGTGGACTGACGCTCTTTTCTATTTTCCTCTTTCTTGATTGGTTGACAGAATCTCCTAATCCTGATGTACACTGTCTAGCTGCAGCGCCATCTGAATTAGTACTCGTTACATTTTCAAACTCCATTTCTTAATGCGTATTAAATCGAACTATACACTATGGATACCCACTTTACTTAGCTGTGGTATCGAAGAAACTCCTTCTCCCCCCTCGGAGGGGGGAGAACTAAAGTATTACGTAACCCTTGTTGCTTGATATAAAAGATCAAACGATAATTCTTTCAATTACCTTTTACTAAATCAGTTTATAGGTTTTTTTTTAAGCTCGCCTCTATCACAGTGTTCTCTGCTGAACTATAACTTTATCGGATTATGTCTATCAAGGGACGCGGTAGCGTCCCGAAGGCAAGCTTGAGTCTGAAGATGGAACTTGTCGTCGGGTATCGCGTCCCTTATATACACGTACATTCGTGTTCGATTTTTTTCTTTTATGAATTACGATTAAATCTTCGGTAATTTGTCAATAGTTTGTGGTTTTTACAAAGTTTTATACGCCGCTTTTCAATTTATAACAAGTTTTATTTAAANATTCATTAAATTATTCGAATTTGAGTATATTTATATCTCCTGAAATGTAAATACAAATCTTCTACTGATGTACTTGTTCCGTCGCTAATACCGACTCCTTAGTTTTTAAGCACTTTAGTACAGCCGGAAAACCATAGTATGTCCAGAATCACCCATCTGCCGCGCAACCATTTCTTTGTACGCCTAGCAAAATATGTTTCTTATGACCCACGCACCGTAATAACCAGAAATGCCTTCCAGAAGGATAAGACGTCCTTCTGCTACAAGCAAAGACCATAACCCGGCCAGAAAGGCATTACGCAGGTATCCGTTATTTCTGGACACTTTCCCTTCAACCGTTTCCTACTACCACCTTAGGTTTTTTCCGCTTCCTTTTTTAACCGTCCAAAGGGCGTCATCCTCATTTCCCCCACACCATCGTGACAGGAACATTCCAACCAATAGAAAATTTTTTACAACCAAAGAAAATCACCACCCCCATCCCTTAAGACGTCTCTGCGAGACGAGAGACGATACGAAGCCAGAGTTCGCTTGACCGTCGACAGTATAACATAAGACAACTTGTAAAGCCACAGTACGACGTTGTAGTGGAGTTTTTAATACAACCATTTTAAAAGCCATCAGCTGTGTCCATTATTTTACTGGGAATCAATTCCTAAACCTTCATCAGCTACGCAATATTAAATTGGCGCGTAGCATCGAGGCAACGGGAGTCTACTCTCGCAACTCACAACAGTACTTATTATTTAAAATGTTCTTTACAGTAACAGAAGCTGTTTAAATTAGATACACGAGCGGTATCGCATCTTTAGCAGTATGCCACTGAATTTTCAATTATTCGTTCCAACTACTTTGCTAGAACTTATTGGGTAATCACAGTTGGAATGCCAATAAAATTGGAAGGGCAATCCCGCAATTCAAAGATAGAAAAATAAGAATAAATAATAGAAAATAGAATAATAACATAAGAACATAATAGAATAATATAAAATAAAATGATTAATCACAGCTTCACTTCAAATATACTTTATTTTTAATGATATGCAGTTAAGTCGGTGTATATAAAATCGGTGTATATAAAATAACAGTGCATGCAAAAGAAAATCATTCACTCGTAGTTTTCTAATACAACTCCAGGAAAGTCGTGAAATCCCCCAAAAAATTAACTCTTTCATAAAACGGTGAAGAAATGGGCAATTTTGAGATGGTTGGTCCCTATAATCAATATTATATGACATGCCTAGTCCCCATACTGAATAAAATAAAATAATTTCATTACCTCCCTATAGAATATTTTATTTCATTACATATTAAATTTTATCTTAGAAAATAATAATATCCATTCCTGTGAAATCCAGCTCGAGAAAGTCATGAAATTGTAAGACAAAGATTGTCGGAATGGGCGAACAAACGCGTTAGGATGATAGACGTAAGAGAAAATGTATTAATCGTACGTAATATAAATTAACATAAGTGATTAGGCACATAACGCGACTCACTCTTTCGCTCACTGACAAAAATCTCGAATCCTCTCTTTCATTTCTTTCTTTTTTGTATCGCGCACACCAACGTCACGTTGGTGCCGGTAGTGCATACATCTTTCACTCTGCTCTTCTACATTCGGCCTTCCTGACTTATCCGACGACCTCGACGGAATAACATTACAGAATTAAAATAACCAAATGCTTATAAACAACCTTAATAACATACATGTCAACCAATATAACATTACAATTAAAATAACCAAATGGCCTATAAACAACCTTTCTTAACTAATAATAATTATTATAGAAGCAAACTTAAACTAATGATTATTTACACTTGATTTACACTTGTCGCCATAGTCTCATGTGCGCCGCTTGCCATACCCCTCGATAAGGTCTCTGCGTATTTTGAAACCCATCTACGTCTGTGATGGTATATCTATCATTTCCTAGTTTCTCCGCCACTTTGTATGGTCCCTTAAATATTGGTTTGAGCTTGTGAGCTGCTCCGACTGTGGTATCGAAATTCTTAATGGAAACTAAGTCGCTTACTGCATAGTCGTGCGCTTCCTTGTGCTTCTTATCTGCATATTCTTTATTATAAGTCTGCGATCGCAATATTCTATCAGATGCATATCTACGAATTTTCTCTTCTTCGCGTTCTTCCTCGCTTTCGTTACATAAATATTCGCGTAAGGCGTCTGTGGACTTTTTACGCTGCCTTACGCCGAATAGCAATCGACTCGGTGTCTCGCCTGTAGCCTTATTAACGGAGTTATTTAATGCGTACTCGACATCGCTAATAATTTTATACCAATACTTTTCTGCGGTGTCGTCTGTCAGTTTAGCTATCATTGGTGTCAAAGTTCGGTTGACCCTCTCGACCTAGCCATTGGCCTGAGGTGAGCCTAATATGCTGTACTCCGTTACTCATAACAAAATCTCCAAACTCGGTACTCGTAAAGCAACTACCTCGATCCGTGATTATCGTCTTCGATCGCGAATAATGCTCAAAGTATTGTTTCAAATTAGTAATCGCTTCTTTACTAGATGTCGTTTTTGTTGGATAAAGTTTCACGAACTTCGTAAAAGCGTCTATTACGACTAACAGATGTTGCTTAACTAATCGTTTCTTGTTAATCGGTCCAAGATGATCCACGTGTATGGTATTAAAAGAAGCATTACCTTTGGGAATCGAATGAATCCAACCTGGGAGTTTCCCACTAACTGGTGAAAACGTTATACATTTTAAGCAGTTCTTAATGTGACAATCTACTTTCTCACGTAACTTTGGGAACCAATAATTTTCGAGGATCGCTTGCACCGATTTCTCGGTACCCACGTGACCAAATTCGTCGTGATATTTATATAATACATTTCTCTCCATCTGTTCCGGCACATAAAATAATAATTTTTTTAATTTTACTTGCAGTACACGAGACCGTTTCGCATTTCATAAAACTTATCTTCCGATTGTTCTAGTTTAGTATGAATCTCAACGATTGTAGGATCTTGTCCCTGACATACCGTTATGTCCCACTCAAAAGGGTTTTCTTCGACTACTCCAATAACACAACTAAGAGCGTCGACGTGCCGCATGCGATCGCCGGCGCGATATTCTAGTTCATAATCATAATTGAGCAACGCGATCGCCCATCTCTCTACTCTGCGATTAATATCCTTCTTTTTCAGTGTCATCGTGACTGCGTTACAATCAGACATAATTTTGAATTTTAACCCCTGAAGATAAATTCGGAATCGTTCTAACGCGTACATTATTGCAAGAGTCTCTAATTCGAAACTATGTAGTTTCGATTCGCTTTCCGTCGTTTTCTTAGAATAGTAGAATATTGGATGCATTTTCCCATCTACTTTCCTCTGCATAAATACTGCTCCGTAACCAGCCGTACTTGCATCGCAGTGCAATTCGGTGTTATCATTCGGATTATAAATAGCTAAAATCGGGGCTTCGGTAAGTTTAGCTTTCAATATTTTAAATGAGTGATACTCTGTTTTACCGAAACGAAATGTCACGTTAGCTTTTGTCAAGTCGTACAAGGGCTTGGCAATCTACGCGAAATGCTCGATGAATTTCCGAAAGTAAGAACAAAGCCCGAGAAAATTACGCTCATCGCGCGTGCTCTTCGGAATCGGAAATTTTTCAATCGCCTCGATACCACTTTTTGTTGGCCTTACACCATGCTCAGAAACCATGTAACCCAGATACTCCACTTCCGTCTGAAGAAAGTAGCACTTGTTTAATCGTAACGCCAAAAGGTTTTCCGAAAGGGTCTTAAATACTCGCTCCAGTATTTCTAAATGATGATCAATTGTCTGAGTGGCTATTAGGATATAATCCATGTAAATCGCCATATCACCCGCTTTAGTAAATTCGTTTAATATCCGATTTAAATAGCGCTGAAATGTCGCTGGTGCCGTACGTAGTTCAAAGGGCATACGCAACCACTCGTACTGATCCAGTGGAATTACAAATGACGTGTACTTTACAGATTCATCCGCGACCCGAACGTGGTGAAACCCGTCTTTTAAGTCTAACAACGTAAAATATCTCTTATTCCCCACGATCGATAATTGATCCTTGATAAGAGCCATAGGATAATTATCCCTTGCAGTCGCTTTGTTTAAGACACGATAGTCCACACACATACGTAATTTCCCGTTTTTCTTTCTCGTCAAGACTATCGGGGATGCGAATTCGGAATTGCTCTCTCGTATATAGCTCTTTTCTAATAACTCGTCTAAAATCACCTGAAGTTTCTTTTTCTCGTCAATCGCAAGCTTGCACGGGGTGCAGTGAAATGGCCGCGGATTCTCTAAACGTAATTTCAATTCCGATCCCATTTTCTATTGCAATGGCTTCGGACAATCTACATATAATTCACGGAAACTGTTCCGCAATTTGACCTTCACTTCATACGGTACCTCTGCATTTATTTGCAGATCGCTAAGTTCATCCTTCCTGGTCTCTGCTACGTTAATGTGTATTAACTCCCGCGCGCGTCATCGTCAGTCGGTATTGTTAATCGAAATCCAAATTTTTGCAATACATCGCGACCTAGTAATGCTGGAGTCAATGTTGTCTCCTCAGGTACTACATAAATTCTAAGATTCTCTTTCGTAATATTGCCGGTAGAGATCGTCACGAGAATTTTCCCCAAAAAATCGATTTGTACTTTCTTACAGCAATACTCTCGATCTGTTGCATCTATTGGAATAAGCCCTACTTTCTCAACGAATCTCTCTTTGACAAAACTGATCGGACTGCCCGTATAGAGGAGCGTATCTAGACACAATACTTGCTGCAAACTCGAGTTCTTTATCGAATACGTTACAAGTTTTCGGTGCTCTATGGTGTCTTCTTCGGCTGGATCTTCATAAACGTTGGATACCTCCGACTTAATGTTCGACTCCTCCTGTTCCTTCTTCGGACAGTCTTTCACCATATGCCCCATCTCGCCGCATGAGTAGCACGATCCTCTTTCTCTCGTAGGCTTTGGGCACTCCTTCGCAATGTGCCCCGTCCTGTTACAGTTGTAGCACCTAACCGATTTTCCACCGGCCTCTTCCTTCACCGATGTCTTGAATTCTTTTGGCGCTTTCTCAGCTGACTTGTTAGTTGATTTCTGTCCGTGCTTGATTTCCTTCTTGGTATTTGTGAGGGAAATCTTACGGAAACCATTGATCTTTCACCGTGTTAAAGTTCTGCATTCGAGCTTGGTTACGTAGGCTCTGATCGGGTATCCCGTCTACCAAGTAATCTAACAGGTCTTCGTTTTCAATCGGTACTAAATTACCTAAGATGAGCTTTTCATGGTAATAATTATTAACACGTTCCGTGCCAAGCCATTTTTGCCTGACTTGTCGTTCAGGCCATTTGATATTTTGATTAAAGATGCACCATTAAATGTAATTATTAATTATTGTATATATAACAATTAAATAAACTTATGTGTTTTGTTCTTTACTGCATCTTGTATAATGCTTCATTTTTTAGGTAGAAATATAGTTTACAGAATTATATTTGTAATAAAATATATGTTTTCAGCGCATTAAATAAATATGACTGCGTGTACCACCGGTGGTACACGTGGCCTGACGATCAAGTTTACCGTGTACCACCGGTGGTACACGTGGCACGGAACGTGTTAAACGACTCGTTTGTGTGCCACGTTCTGAGCTCAAACTTCTTCATCCGATCCATTCTGCTTGGTCGTTGATCAAATCCATCTTTCATTGCTTCGAGTAACTCGTCCAGCGTCATCTCCGTATATTCAGACTTTGAGCGGAACCATCTATCAGCTTTTCCTTTCAGTTTGGAACTGATAATTATTTTCATAATCGCATCATCTACAACAAAGAGTCTTTTTACCAATCGAACTTGTTTCTCCCAGTCTTCGAAATAGCGATTCGTTCCACTGAACTCGCCCAGCAGCTCTCCGATGCCTTTGACATCTGCGCGTAGTTGTGACGATGCTTCTGCTTGGGAATATCTTCTTGCATCGTTGGCCAAAATTCTTTCTTCTGGTCGGGCGATTCCTGGATTCCCTACGTTGATTAATTCAAGCTCTCGTCGCGCCAATGCCGCTTCCCGTTGGGCCAGATCCCGTTCTCGTCTCATAATTTTGAGCTCTTGAAGCAACAATTCGTTTCTCCCATGCTCTGGTTGCACTTGTACCTCGTCACGATGCTCGTTCCCTCCGCTTTCAGGATCGTTCTCGTTCAACCGATATCAATCGACCGTTCTAAATCGCGGACATCTTATAACAACACACTATCGCTGCACAGGTAATTTGTTATAACCGTAAAACATAAAATTTCTTGCATAAAGCTCTCACGTCTTTACTCCGGTCCCACTTCTGAAAATTGTAAGACAAAGATTGTCGGAATGGACGAACAAACGCGTTAGGATGATGGACGTACGAAAAAATGTATTAATCGTACGTAATATAAATTAACATATGTTACCGACGTGAACTTGAGTGTATGGACAGGAATTGCGACTTCTAAAGGCGAGCGTCTCAACGTAGCGGTTTAGACACCGCTGCGTAGGCCGCGTGCACAACGATTCGAATTTGGGATCGTCGGGGCCGCTTTCCTCGTCTCCAACCGATGACGGTTGATAAAACGACGAGTTCGGGACAGAGGAAGACTGGGGATCTTCCTCTGCGACCCAGTTGCCCTGTGGAGGCGTGTCGTCTGGAAGGAGAGCACTTCAGAGAGAGTAGACTCTATTGCAATTCCGGGGATGAGGAAGACTGGGGATCTTCCTCTGCGACCCAGTTGCCCTGTGGAGGCGTGTCGTCTGGAAGGAGAGCACTTCAGAGAGAGTAGACTCTATTGCAATTCCGGGGACCGTCAATGCACGTAGTTTTTTGGCTGTTATGCAATAAATTATTTGGCAGACTTTCCGAACGCAAGCACCGGTGGAAAATTGAAGTATGGTTTATGGCTTATATCAATCGTTGGGTCGAGCGAGAAAACGAACGAGTAGACAACGCCTGTAGTTTGAGTCTGCAGTCTTGGGCCGGTTAGCCTTTTTTATGACTGCGTGTGGATTGTCACCGGACCCGGTGGGTCCTTGGCGGACTCGATGTGTGCGCCATGCACTTGATATCTGGCAGGGAAATTGCGTCTGAAAGGGCTCGCTTGTGTTTCCGGGAGGGGCTGACTCGCGTAGCTCACGTATCCCAAGTATCGGCCGTATTGTGCGTGTTTAGTCTTAAGTCGTTATCTTGCTCGTAAATAAATTTGGTCGACGACGCGCGGGTAAATTTATTTGTTATTGTAACGGCCGTTCCTGGCGTGGGGTTTCTCAAGAAGAGTTTTCCCCACGTCACAAGCGAAGCTTGGGTGAATGCAGGAACGAGCTGA